TTCAGTCTGGAGAGTCAGTTTGATATAGAGGTTAAATCAGGCTAGAAAATGTGAGACTCCGGATTCTAGTCCTGCCGTAGAGAAAAAGCAGTTGGCTGATTTTGGGCCATTCTCTTTCAGCCTTAGGAAGGAGGCAGTGGCAAACCTATTCTGCAATCTTACCAAAAAAAGTTCAGGGATTTCTTTTTATTTTCTTTTAAAAAACTATGATGGAGAAAAGGACCTTCTGTAATGGCAAAAGATCTTCTCTGTTTTGTTGCTTACTCAGTTAGTTTCGAGTTCAGCACTAAACCACTACATCAAACTGGTTCTCTTTCTTATATGAACTCATGACCTGTATTAAGAGAAGCTTCTGGATAAAGCTTCTGGCTGTTGTGTATTTTTTTAGTTAAAAATCAGCTTTGGAAGACTCATAGTCACTTGTATGCTGAAAAAGGTCCAAATACCCTCAGCCTCCAAATTTTAAAATGCTCTTAGCCTTATTATTATTATTTAATTCAGAAGGGTTAGAAATTTGTCTCCAAAACTGGGCGGATATCCCAGATCTAAACATCCATCATGGGAGGAATTATTTCTTGGGAAAATGGATGTTGTTTCTGGCTCTTAGTCAATTTACACCGTGCAAGAGAAGCCCTCAAAAGAGGCCGTCACTTTTTTGCTTTGTTGCCTCCCAAATCACTTACTTAAATAAAGTGAAAATGAAAATATCTTTTCATCTCCAAAAGAAGCTCCAATGACCCACAGCACATTTTTAATAAAATTGTTCCTGAATTTTACTTCTTTTTTTGGAATAAAGAACATGACCTATCATTTTCTTTTTAATGTAATGAAGAGAGAAGCAGATTTCTTAATCAGAATAACTAGGAAGTTAAGATTTAATGTTTTCTAGTTCATACAGAAAACTTGATTTGACTCAATGTGAACAATTTGAATTTTCTGGAAAGTAAAAATAAACAAGGGAGAAAGAACAAGCTGCTGGGTTTTTCTGAATGTGAGGAGAAAAAGAGAAAAATGGGAGAGCAGAATATAGGCTCCAAAGAGTCTAAAATTGAGTCATGTTGGAGCTTGTTTCAAAAA